AGTGAGTGGAGTGGAGTGAGTGGAGTGAGTGGAGTGGAGTGAGTGGAGTGAGTGGAGTGAGTGGAGTGAGTGGAGTGGAGTGAGTGGAGTGAGTGGAGTGAGTCAGTGGAGAGAAATACGCAGCTGTGAATGTTTGGGATACCACTAGGTGAAGGGGCCGTGCTGTCATGAGGACAGCGTTGGAGTGAAAACAGCCAAGCCCAGGTCGCGTCCTTTAAGCTGTGTGGGAGGAAGCAAAACGCTTGACAAAGGAATTAGCATAAAAATGAGCACGATGTACGTAGGAGGTGCATGGGCCATGATGGACCAGGGGCGGGTGGGGACCATACCATGATGGACCAGCAGCGGGGGGGGGGGGGGGGGGGGGTAGAGTGAGTGAGTGGAGTGAGTGAGTGGAGTGAGTGAGTGGAGTGAGTGAGTGGAGTGAGTGAGTGGAGTGGAGTGAGTGGAGTGAGTTGAGTGAGTGGAGTGAGTAGAGAGAAATAAGCAGCTGTGAAAGTTTGGAATACCATTACTTGAAAAAAATGTCACTGTACCATTGAAAATTAGTTTAATGTTTGGTTTGATTTAGAACATCTTTCCAATGATTGCTTAATTTGAAACCATCCTCTCGGTTGAAATTGTGTCTGTGTTTGTAAATCTGAATTGCCTCGTGGACAAATCTCTGATAAAAACCCGTGGGTTTGCAGAGAACCTTGGTATCGGAGAAAACTATATCGTGATCACCCACAGCGTTATAACAGTGGTCAGCTACGGCAGAATAATTCGTTTTGCCGTGTTTCAAATCTGATTTGTGCTCGCAAATTCCGTGACCTGATCCCATCCGTGAAGGATGTCGTTCCTGACTTATATCGAGGACGAAGCGACATGTCTCTGACCGAATTCGCGAGCACAAATCAGATTTGAAACACGGCAGAACGAATTATTCTGCCGTAGCTGACCACTGTTACAACGCTGTGGGTGATCACGATATAGTTTTCTCCGATACCAAGGTTCTCTGCAAACCCACGGGATCTTATCAGAGATTTGTCCACGAGGCAATTCAGATTTACAGATACAGACACAATTTTAACCGAGAGGATGGTTTCAAATTAAGCAATCATTGGAAAGATGTTCTAAATCAAACCAAACATTAAACTAATTTTCAATGGTACAGTGACATTTTTTTCAAGTAGTGGTATCCCAAACTTTCACAGCTGCTTATTTCTCTCCACTCACTCACTCCACTCACTCACTCCACTCACTCACTCCACTCACTCACTCACTCCACCCACTCACTCCACTCACTCACTCCACTCACTCCACTCACTCACTCCACTCACTCTATCTACTCACTCCACTCACTCCACTCACTCACTCCACTCACCCTACTCACTCCACTCACTCCACTCACTCACTCCACTCACCCCACTCACTCCACTCACTCACTCCACTCACTCACTCCACTCACTCTATCTACTCACTCCACTCACTCCACTCACTCCACTCACTCACTCCACTCACTCACTCACTCCACTCACTCACTCCACCCACTCACTCCACTCACTCACTCCACTCACTCACTCCACTCACTCACTCCACTCGCTCACCCCACTCACTCCACTCACTCACTCCACTCCACTCACTCCACTCACTCACTCACTCCACTCACTCACTCCACTCACCCCACTCACTCACTCCACTCACTCACTCCACTCACCCCACTCACTCACTCCACTCACTCCACTCACTCACTCCACTCACTCCACTCACTCACTCACTCCACTCACTCCACTCACTCCACTCCACTCACTCCACTCACCCCACTCACTCACTCTACTCACTCCACTCACTCCACTCACTCACTCTACTCCCCCCCCCCCCCCCGCTGCTGGTCCGTCATGGTCCCCACCTGCGCCTGGTCCATCATGGTCTATGCACCTCCTACGTACATCGTGCTTCCTCCCACACAGCTTAAAGGACGCGACCTGGGCTTGGCTGTTTTCACTCCAACGCTGTCCTCATGACAGCACGGTCCCTTCACCTGATGAAGGCCACTTGTGTTGTGGCCAAAACGTCGTGATTTTTGTTATTTTATTTTTTACCTACGTGACTTTACCGAATAGAACCAAAGAGTCCTGGTTAAGATGTTAGTCGCCGTTATTGGTCGTGAGCGGAAATTGAAGTCGGGTCGCCGGGTCAGTAGCGCAGTGCTTCTAATGGCTAATCACTGCGCCACCGCTCCCCACACGCCTGCTCCTGCCCGAATGCACGCGAACGCGGATACACATTCAACTTCAGTCATTCTCAAAAAGAACCAACGTTGTTAACACTTTTATCAACACTATTATGGTAATAGTTGTATGTGTTACTTGAATATTGGTGAGAATAATTAGATATGGAACGGTGATGCTTGTAATAGTATACATTTAATTATAACTATAGCAACCTGTACGTCATTTGGACGAGGCTATTAGCCAGCCAGAAAACAACTTGTACTTATTTTAGAACACAGTGTAGTAGTATATCGTCAGTTCGCGCACGCACGTTCGCATCATGCCGTGCATTCCACTGCACGTGGGTGCTGCTGCCGCCGCCGGTATAAATTAGACGCGAAGTCTTTATTGCCGCTGCTGCCTGTAACGTGAATCGGAGCAATCACGCACAGTTCCAGAGTCAATTTAAAGCCGCCTGCTCCCCAGAGGGACGGCGGAGGAATAAGATTGTGATGAGTTTCTGCTGGGGTCCGTGAGCTTCGTGATCTGCATCGCGACGACCGGCGGCAGTGACGCCGGGGCGCGTGACGGGAATTATTGAAACCTGGCCTGGCCACTGCGCCTGGCACGGCCGTAGCGAGGTTGCCATCAATCCCGCCTTTAATCCGGACACTTCGGGAAATCGTCATCTGTACGTCAGATGGTGGGGCATGGACATGTACCGAGATCTTTTACCAGTGTTGCTGTGTTGAACTCGATCACGGTAATGTGCACAGTGATGATAATCGACCGACAGGGCCGTCCTCGCGCCGTCCCCAACATCACCACCACCACCGTGTCCACCACCGTGCCCACCACCACCATCACCACCACCACCGTGTCCACCACCGTGTCCACCACCTCACTCTCAGAGTTGCTACATAACTCGTGGCGACGGCAACACCTCGAGGATTTATTGGCGAGCAATGCCCAGCGCCGGTGCCAGGTAGCGAGCGAGCGAGAGCGGCGATGCCTTTTATGGCGTTAATAGTGCGGGAGCATTACTCTGCCAAGCAGATTGCAGATGACAGACATTTCATAATGGCACATAAACTGCAATGTTAACCCATTGTACGTGGCACTCGCAAGTATCGATACAATCCGTTCAGACGCGGACTGTGGATGGGTGCCAATTTGCTCTGGAGCTGTGGATTCGCTTTAGATGATCGATGCACTCACGGCTGGGCTGGAGATGGAATAGTAAAGTGCTTGCGGCCTCTGATTTGCAGAGTACAATGTCTCAACATTGTCTCGGTGCGTCTCGCGATAAAGTTGTAGAAATGAGCTCAACTGGAGGCAGATACGATCTGGCGAACTGAGCTGTTGAATCCGAGTTCTATTCACAAGGAGATGGGTCATGTCTGAGGAATGCGAATTACGAAGTATTTGGCAGTCTCCGTAGAGCGCTCTTGACTAATAGGTGCTCGCTGTAAGGTCACGCTCGCCTTTGCGGTAGGCGAAGGTGTCACTCATTTGTCTGTATGCTCCCTCCCTGGAAAGATCGCTCCGCCAGATAATAACTGAGCCCGCTTTATCGCCCGGTAGCATAACGATGTCATCACGTGCCTTGAGAGTTCCTGCTATAAATAAGCAGACAATTCGCCTCCTTCCGACATCTGCCGCTTCTCTTAAATAAAAATATTTTTTTTACATCCCATCAACAACATGACCTTCGAAGAGTGCATACATTGAGCAACATTGGTTCAACACAAGCAACACTCTGGGCTGGTTTTGATATACGGTGTCTCATCAGCAGCATCAGGCTCTCGTGAGTCAATTAAATAAATGTTTCTTGATGACCAGTTTTAAATTAACGTATGAATAATTATTTACGAGTAGCTTTTGAGTACCAGACAGATCCTTCAATCATCAAAAGTATTTTAAATATATTAATTTATATTCAAAGTCAAATTATACAATGTTGCTGGTACAATGCATTGTGGGAAGGTTTGTTCTTGTGAGGACTGACAAGGCGCAAGTGGTCATCATAAAAAATAAATATCCTCAGACCCCAACTCTCATCATTCCCTCTTCCTCTATGTTTATGTACATTAACATCATGCTAATTTCTCACATTAACATCATGCTAATCCCTCACATTAACATAGCCACTTCCGTGCCCTATAATTTCTCACATTAACATCATGCTAATCCCTCACATTAACATAGCCACTTCCGTGCCCTCTAATTTCTCACATTAACATCATGCTAATCTCTCACATTAACATAGCCACTTCCGTGCTCTCTAATTTCTCACATTAACATCATGCTAATCCCTCACATTAACATAGCCACTTCCGTGCTCTCTAATTTCTCACATTAACATCATGCTAATCCCTCACATTAACATAGCCACTTCCGTGCTCTCTAATTTCTCACATTAACATCATGCTAATCTCTCACATTAACATAGCCACTTCCGTGCCCTCTAATTTCTCACATTAACATCATGCTAATCTCTCACATTAACATAGCCACTTCCGTGCCCTCTAATTTCTCGCATTGACATCATGCTAATCCCTCACATTAACATAGCCACTTCCGTGCCCTCGTTCAGGATGCCGCTCTCCTATCTTACAGTTACATGCTAATCTCTCACATTAACATCATGCTAATTTCTCACATTAACATCACTAGCCTCGGCCACTTCTTTATGACCCTTGAGCTACACCCATTTCAAACCTTTTAAAACAGTCTGCCTCAGCCGCAGACCATGCTTTCCCACCTGATGACGGACGCTTGTGTTGCGCCCGAAACGTGACTTACCGAAAGAACCAAAGAGTATGGATTCCTGCAGTCACGAAAGCTTCAAATCAAGATTGAGTTTATTTTTATAATTGTGTCGAGGTGGCTGGACTGTGGATTCCCTCGCCTCTAAATAATTCTCTCTCTCCGGCTGGATTGCTGCCTGCCTGGCGGACTGGTGCGCATGTTCACGTTAGTGATGTCACCGCGCACGCCGCGGGATGACGTCACCCACATCCCACAGCGTTCGGCTGGGATCGTGCGCGTTGACGTCACGCCTCCTTTTCCACCCACCGAGCACTTCGGCAGCGAGTCGCCGCACGAACGCGACAGAGGACGGAGTGCCGGCGAGGGACATCGCGGAGGGAGGAAGAGACGGAGAGGAATGGTGAGGAGAGGGTGAAAGGACATGCAGTGGAGAGGAAAGCGACAAGCGGCGGGAGAGAGGGTGACGGAGCGGCAAGAGAGATCGAGGTGTGGGAATAGGGAGTGCGAAGTTCCATTTAGTTCAATTTATTTGGTATAGCCCTGTGAGCCATTCGGCTCTTAAATCGGGTGCAACCGCAACAAAAAAAACATGAACAAGAAATAATCTTAAAGTGACTTTGTGACTGTGCAAACATAAAATCCAGGAATAAAACATCAAAATATTCCTCAAAAAGCACCGTACACCAACGCTGTGTGCAAAAATCCCAGTGGGATGCAAGTCAAACAACAACAACCACAAGACAACTAAGATTAAGGCCATCAGTTTAAATCCGTACTACAATAAACAAAAACATGGCCAAACCAAAAAAACGTTTTCGAAATCACCAAAACAAAGCCATAAATGCAATATAACAGTGATCACAGGGACTGTGACCTAATTTTTTACAATATACTACATAAATAACATATAACAAACAAACCCTAGAGCCATAGCTGGCTGCATGAGTCACTCCACAACAACAGGAGCATCAGTCGGAGTATCACATTTTTCAATGCACCTTTAAGATCAGCACGCTAAATCAAAATACAGATAATACTTTGCAGCGGTCATCCGGAGCGAAACATTTTATTTTATTTTAGGCCACTGAATAGCAGTGGCAGTTAGGGGTGTACAACTCCTCTAGAGCAGTTCTAAGTGAAGATCTCATAGGTAGTGATTCAAGTTGCAGTTTATTGGCAATAGCATTCCAGACCCTGGGGGCATCAATAGCAAAGGCCCTTCCTCCGGTTTTTGTACGGCAATAGGGAATGTGAAGCTGGTAAATGAGCGAAGACCTGAAGTCAAATTTGTTCTTTGAAACAGAGAGGAGATCCAGCAGGTAGTCTGCGGATTTTTTTGCAAGTACATCGTGAATAAATAAGATCTGGTGCACAAGCCGTCGAACATTAAGAGATGTTAAGTTTGACCCAATGTAGAGATCACAGTGGTGAGTCCTATATGGGCAGTTCAATGCAAATCTTAAGGCCGAGTGATAGATGGAATCAAGCTTCTTCAGTACAGTACTTGGAGCTGATTTATACACGATATCACAGTAATCAAGTAGAGGCAGTATGGTAGCTTTTATCAATTCCAAACGGAACATAGGGGGGAAGCAGTGCTTGTATCGATACAGAAAACCAATTTTTATTTTTGTCTTTTTACCAATATAATCAATGTGATCTTCAAAATTCAGTTTTGAATCCAGGATGACCCCAAGATACTTATAGATCTTGACTTGCTCTATTTGATAATTATTTCAGGAATGTAATTGGGGAAAAATAACTTCCTGCTTTAGTCCTGGTGAGAAGCATAGCACCTTGGTTTTGGAGGTATTCAGGACTAGTTTAAGAGCAACTAGCTGATGTTGTAGTTTGTTGAAATCACCCTGGAGCTTAGCAATCACGTCATCCGGAGAGCGGCCAGCGGTAATCAGTATCGTGTCATCTGCAAAAAGATTTACCCTGGAATGATCCAGTTCAGTGCCCAAGTCATTGACATAAAGAGAGAACAAGAGGGGGCCGAGAATGGAACCCTGTGGGACCCCTTTCGTTATCTTAACACTGTTTGACCTCCAACCATCTGTGGATACGGTTTGGGTGCGAGAGGAGAGATACGGGGAGAGGGAGAGACAGGGAGAGGGAAGTGGGTGAGATCAAGTGGGAGGAGAGGAATGTAGAGGGAAGGAGAGGAATAGAGACATCGAGACAACTTGGGATGTACAGCCCAGAGAAGGCAAGACTAGAAAGGCGGAGAGAGACAACTCTGTCAGATTCACGGTGTTGTTGGCTGGCTGGTAGAGGCGGACGGATGACCACGTCCAGCGGACGTGCGGGTGTGCTATACTGTAGTCGTTATTATAGTAGTGGTGGTGGTGAGGGAGGGGAGGAAGAGCGGCTGCCTCGGGTTGAAGTGGTGACCGCTGTTGATGCGTCCCCCGTGCCGCTCCGGGAGGTCGCGTTCCTTTCACGCCGCCGCAGCAGCAGACAGCGCGGTTTGCGCGTGTCGGCTCTGCTCCTGCCATGGCTTTTGAAAATCAGAAAATTACATTTTGCGGCACAGGGACAGGATGGGATATGCAAATGAGCGAGTGGTCGCTTTTATCGCCAACTGATAATATGCGCTGCATTAAACGAGACACGGCACCGAATGGTGATTGGCAGCCGCAGCGGCTGCTGTGATGGAGATGAACCAAATAATACATTAAATAGACAATTCGCCTCCTTCCCATATCTGTCTCTCTGAATATTTTTTTTTACATATCCAATCAGCCATACGGCCTTCTGGGAGTGTGTAAATTCGGCAGCTTTATTCAACACAAGCAAAACACTGGAGCAGCTTTAACATTAATTGTCTCATCAGCAGAGCCAAGCTTGCTTGAAGCAATGCTGAACTTCCAGATGTTTTGAGGCAAGGATGCTTCCCTTAGATATGGGTCCTATTTCGATGCAAAACTATATCAAACATCACGTAAAATAACCACGAGCTGCGTTGTGGAGGATATCAGCCACGCGTCTCTGGGTCACGCGAGTGTGCATTGCCCCAGAGAGCACGGATATTGCTTGGTGCAGCTGCAAGGCTCTCCCGTGCGATGCGTCCCTTCCTCCTGGTACGATTGTGCATCGAGCTAGGACCCACATTTAACAGAGAGGGTTCTTGCCTTTAAACATCTGGCACTTCGCCAGCATTGGTTCAAGCAAGCATGACTGCTGATGAGACACCGAATGTAAAAACCGGTACAGAATGTTGCTTGTGTTGAAGCGAAGCTGCTGATGAAGGCCGCGTGGCTGTCACGGCACGCGGTTGCACAGCTCCCTCGTGACCTCCTCGAGGCGCGCCTCCTCCCTCCCCCACCCACACGCCTCTCTGTAGAATTTAACTTTGCAGATTGAGCCACTGATTGGCAATCATACACGCGGCTGTTGTGAGAAGCTAATAATATACCCGCGTCTCCTAATTGATTTAAATTGATTCAGGAAAAGGTGTCATTACAGCGGCTCTCCGCGTGTTTCCTCGGCAAGACGTCTAGGGCTTGAGTACAATATCGAGTGCTCCTGCTTGTGAATGCACGCGTTATTTCTGATACCTCAATGTCTGGCAGCGTGAGACGTCTCTGTTAAATGTTCACCCCCAACCCCCAACGCCTCCCTTGCCATGGAGACCTCTGGACCTCTGGCCTCTCATAGTCTGGGCATGTGGCAGGCTCCACGTAGCAGGCTCCACGTGGAGCTACATGAGCGGGACAGTGAGCTATTGTTGCAGGTCACGGTGCAAGCAGCAGAGTCGGGTCGCGTGTTCAAGGTCGGCACTGCATGTGCGCACACGTGAAGTGGCCAGGAACAACCAGCACCGTCACATTTGTAATATTTACGAGTTGATGATACGTGTCTATCATTGACAAGGTTGTTGTTATATTCTTGGTTCTTTCGGTAAAGTCACGTAAAAGGGAAACAATAACATAATAAAAATATAAAACAATATTGTTTCCCTTCTACGTGACTTTACCGAAAGAACCCAGAATATGAATCCCTGCAGTCACGGAAGCTTTAAATCAAAATTTTAGGTTGTTGTTGTTGTTGTTGTCAGAGCTTGGTGATCAGAGACGATTATGGTCGGGGATTCCAAAGTGAAGTGGTTCGAGGGAAGAAGCAGAGAAGCGTTGTGACCTGCGGTATGGTGTGGAGTCGGTGGGTGGTTGAGTGGGTGAGTAGGTGGGTGGTTGAGTCGGTGGGTGGTTGAGTGGGTGGGTGGTTGAGTGGGTGGGAGAGTCGGTAGGTGGTTGAGTGGGTGGGGGAGTTGGTGAGTGGGTGAGTGGGTGGGGGAGTTGGTGAGTGGATGAGTAGATGAGTGGGTGGGTGAGTAGATGGGTGGTTGAGTCGGTGGGTGGTTGAGTGAGTGAGTTGGTGAGTGAGTGAGTGGGTGAGTGGGTGAGTAGGTGGGTGGTTGAGTGTGTGGGGGAGTTGGTGAGTGGGTGAGTGGGTGGATGGTTGAGTGGATGAGTAGGTGGGTGGTTGAGTGGGTGGGGGAGTTGGTGAGTGGGTGAGTAGGTGGGTGGTTGAGTGGGTGGGGGAGTTGGTGAGTGGGTGAGTGGGTGGGGGAGTTGGTGAGTAGATGAGTGAGTGCAATGAGTGCTCGTCGTGAAATGCTCAATGTGTGCAATTGAACCTGGGACCCTTGACAAGAAACACAGATCCCCCATGTAGCCCGCATCGGCTGTTGGGGCAAGTGCGATTAGCGAGCACCCATTGTGCTATATGAATCAGAGCCATTGGCCAACATTTGCTCTTTTTATATTTCTTTGTTGATATCCCTGTTGAGGTCATAGCGTTATCGGCGAATGTGTTGTGTTTTTAAGAAGCCCAGAATGGCACGCCACGTGATGGTGTGCCCAGCGCCTTGCCTGGCCACCTTTGTCGACTCGTTTATAGACAGGAAGCCAATTTTGCGATTCAAAGAATTAAACTAAACTCCCTCCAAAGACGTAACACTCACTGACGGATGTGGCCAGAAATCCCATTTTGCACCACAGAGCTTGGGAAATTGTTGGTAACGCCAGATGTGGCTGCCTTCCAATGCGATGTGGTTCCACGCGCCTCCTTTACATAAACTGCGCGCATGACAGGGTTGCGAGACGTGATTCCCGTGAAGGACGTGATATTCAAATACGACGTCAATCAGCGCGATGCTTCTCCTTCGGCAGCCTGGTTTAAAGACCCCACTTAACATTGTGCACGCTTCTCCATGCAGCCAGCGCTCATTGCTCTTTGACCCGCCAGTAAACGATAGGAGTTGTTTACATTTCACTGAACACTTATCCTGACCACCAGCCGCGTGGGGAATCGTCGCCCAGCATCACTGGTGGTGGGAGGCGGTGGCTGACGGCACCACCACCCTGACGCTGAGCTCACGGCT